ATTGGCTTCTGTCGGTGCTCATGCTCACGGATAAGTACTCCGCTTACCGCAAACTCTGAAACTGCCAAGTACAGGAACAGCATCTCCCCCTGGATGGGGACGGACAGGGTTGGAAGAGTCCTCAGGTATTCTTTGATCCCAGCCAGGGCGTCCTCGCACCCCTGGCTCCACATATTCTTCCCAGCACTTTTGATTGCTCCAAAGAAGGGTTTGCATTTATCCGAGGAGCGTGAGACGAATCGGTTAAGTGCAGCCAGCATCCCTGTGAGTTTCTGGACTTCTCGGACAGTGCGAGGGCTTCGGATATCCAGGATTGCTTTAATCTGATCTGGGTTGGCTTCGATTCCTCGCTGACTAACCAGATACCCGAGGAATTTTCCTGACTCCACTCCGAAGACGCACTTTGCTGCATTCAGCTTCAACCCATACTCCCTGAGAGTGGAGAAGGTATCCGCCAAGTCTGTAAGATGATCACAACTCCGTTTGCTTTTTACCAGCATGTCGTCTATGTAGACCTCCATGGTGTTGCCGATCTGCTTCTTGAACATCCGATTCATCAATCTTTGGTATGTTGCCCCGGCGTTCTTCAATCCAAACGGCATCACTTTATAACAATAAACTCCCTTCGGAGTGATAAATGCCGTTTTTTCTTGATCCGGGGCATAAAGAGGGATCTGATGATATCCTGCTCGGGCATCCAGGAAGTCCATTCGTTCATATCCGGCTGTGGCATCTACCAGCTGGTCCACCTTCGGCAGGGGGTAGTCGTCCTTGGGACATGCCTTGTTTAGATCTGTGAAATCCACGCAGACACGCCATTTCCCCCCTTTCTTTTTTGCACATACTGTATTGGACAGCCATTCTGGGAACTGTATCTCTCGAATGGCGTCGGCTCTTAGGAGTTTGTCTATTTCCTCATTGACCGCGTTGGTGTGATGCGGGGCCATACGTCGTGGCCTCTGCTTTACTGGCTTGTGAGATGGGTCAACATGCAGCCTGTGAGTAATTATCTCAGGGTCTACTCCTGTCATTTCCATTTCGTTCCAGGCGAACACGTCTGTATTCCCTCTTAAGAACCTGATCATCTCCTCCTGTTCGGCTGCGGGCATCGAGGTCCCAACTAGGAAATACTTCTCTTCTTCTCCTTCAACCAAGGGCACCTTCCGGAGGTCTTCAACCGATCGTTCAGCTGGGTCTACCCGGGGGTCATCCATCCCCGGACGCCCGGACTGTAATTGCTATTTTTCTATGATCTCTTCCGGTGCTCGCCCCTTCTCCTGGCTGGACGCCCCGGCTCGGACGGCCGAATAAAAACAGTTCTTCGCAGACGCTTGATCCCCCCGGATCTCCATGACGCCCTCTGGCGTGGCGAACTTCAACTTCTGGTGGAGAGTGGAGTGCACCGCTCCCAACGCGTGCAGCCATGTTCGCCCCATAATCACGTTGTAAGGAGAGTCCGTGTCGATCACCACAAACTCTGTGTCGATGACGAAGGGACCAGTGGCGACCGGTAATGTAATTTTCCCCACGGGCAAGGCGAAAGAGCCGTTGAACCCGATGAGGGGTGTCCTGATTTTGGTTAAGTCTTTGGGGCCAAAGCCCATCCGCTTCAAAGTCTCGAAGTACATCACCTCCGAGGAGCTCCCTGAATCTATCAAATTCTCTTGACATCGAATTTCCCTATCTTTAGGGTTAAGACAAGGGCGTCGTTATGAGGAATCACCACGCCTGTCAAATCCGCGTCAGAGAACGTAATGCCAAGCTCACCCATCCTGGCCCTTTTACTTGATGGCCCCACATCTCCCTCGGCTACCTTTCTTGTAAAAGCTACCCTCTTGAGGTCGGATTCGAGCTCTTTGGACGTGGGGCGCTCCAGCGGACATACATGGATGACGTCTATGACGTTGTCCGGTTCCTCGGTCGGGGCAAGGGCTCGTTTCTCTTCTGGCCTAGGCTCTATGTATTCTTTCAGGTATCCATCTCGGACTAAGCTCTCCAAGAATGACTTGAACACCCTGCAGCTCTCGGTGCGATGCCCGACATCCCGGTGATATGAACACCTTACTTTTTGATCACGGGTGGAGGGGTCGCTCTGCATCCTGGGCGGCCATTTGAAGAACGGCTCGTGTTTGATTTTATGGAGCAACCTGAAGATGGGTTCCTTGAAGACGGTGTGAACTCCTCTGGACGAACCCCCTGGATGGGGTAGCAATCCCTTCCGGGGAATATCTTCGCGCTCTTTTTCCTTTCTCTTGGGTTGGAGGGCTCGGCCTTTGTTGCTTCCCATCTCGTCCTCGACCCTTGAGTACTTGTTGATCCGGGCCATCAGTTCCCCCATATCCGAGGGAGTCTTCTTGGTCAGGGATCGGTACAGGTCCGTGTCCCTCGCCAAGCCGAGCCGGAAAGAAGCTGCTGCCATGACCTCCGAGCATCCCTCGACCTCATTGACCTCTTCCCAGTATCGGATGGCGTACTGGCGAAGAGTCTCGGATTCCCTCCGTCTGAGGGTCAACAATGATCCAATGTCCTTGGGGCGCTTACTCCCCGTGATGAATCGGGTTAGGAACTGCCTTGTCAATTCTTTCCAGGACCCAATACTGTTTGGTGGAAGCGTCTCGAACCACCTCATCGCAGAGTCCCCCAAGCTCATAGGGAACACCCGGCATAGAAACCGTTGGTCCGAATGATAGAGGGACATCATCTGCTTATATTGTCTGATATGGGCTTCGGGATCGGATCGCCCATCATAGGTTTTGAACCGTGGCACGACGAACTTTCTTGAGACATCCATCTCACTGATTTCCCTCGTGAAGGGTGTTTGCATGACTTCGTCCTCGGCCTCGTCCTGGACAGTCTTACCCTTTCTCTGGAGTCTAATCGGGCTCTGAGATCTACTTCTTCCCTTACGGGATGCCTCCTGAAGTCCCTGGGTTCGTCGGTAAGCCCCTCGTTTCCTGGGCGTCGTGTAGATTGGGTTGAGTCCTCCTCGGATTCATCTCCCTTCCTCCGTCTGGATAAACCTCGCCGGAGGTCGTCCAGGGCCAATGGCCTTGCTTTCCTGGAATGGTTGTCAAGATGGCATTCGCCGGCTCTGGGTCGCTTCGGGGCCCTGGAGCTTTCTGCTTTGTGATCCAGGTGGTTTCTTAGATCCTTTGTCTCCGCCTCATGGACGGGGAGCCCTCGGGAAAGGAATGAATCCCTCGACCCTCCGCCTGAGGCGGCAAACTCGTCGAGCCGGCTAAGGACGTTTACATTGTCCTTCTCCAGCTGACGTAATCTATCGCCAAATTTCTCTTCTATCACCTCTGCCAGCTGACGGGCCAAGGGGGCTGATCCTCCTGACCTGATCCCCATACTGGTTTGGGGGGTTACCCCCCTTGACCGAGTAGAGGCACTTTTAATCGTACTGGTGCGATCCCTCCCTCCGTGATGGCAGGGAGCTTGCAACTCATGACTCCTTTGGTGGGGTCCTTTCCCTTTTTGTCTGGTGTTCACCATGGTCACTGTTCTTTATAGAGAAAAGATTAGGAAAACTACTCGTTTCCCACAGACGGCGCCAGATTGTGCGTGCAAGATCCTGCACAATATAAAAAATATTGGGAACAGATCTCTCCCCTGGTGAACTTTGAGTGAGCCGGTTGAGTGGCCAAACACGCTGCTTGAAACAGCCTGCGAGGTACGGTGGCAAAAAGGAACGGCAAAGGAAGATCCTGGGAAAGGAAGAACGATCCTGTATGTGTGAAAGGTTTTCCTGGAACAAAGGAGAACAAGTTAGAAGGGCGCCGGAGTGTTTTCCGGCGTATCCCCTCCGACGGTCTAGTCAGTCTTTGAATGAGAGAGAGGAAGGAGAAAACACTGAGAAGGATATATTGTAGTAGAGAGTTTGTGATTGCATACCCGCTTTGCCTTTTGGGAGGAGTATTTATACCTTAGAAGCTCATGATTGCTGTCAGTGTGGTCAGTAGGTGATCATCAGGCACAGGTAGCGTGTGTATTGATTTGATGAGGAATGTCTTCTCTAATTGATTGCTCGGGGTCCCGAGCAATCAATGCTGAGCCGTCGGGACGCCGACGGTACAATATGCTCCTTTCGGGAAGGATGCAATAAATGCTCTGTAATAGGAGCATTTATTGCCTTTCATATCCGAACCTTACCGCATTGAATGCGGTCTCGTCAACAGAAGGGTGCAATTAATTGTTTGCTTTCCCAAGTCGCGTGTCAGCAACGCCATGCGGTTTGTCTGCTCCTGATGTGACATTATTTGCCACGCGTCCATCCCCTATTGGCTGTGACGTCGGTATTCCAGCACGTTCTGACATTACTTGTGTAAGACGAGGTCATGATGAATAGTCTAGACTGGCATAGGCTGATGTCCCGTACGTCAGTAGCTTTATCCGGGAGTAGAGGAAGCGTCCAGGATGGAGTGACCCTCGGCACCGAGGAAAGGCTCACCTCGGGGACCGAGGGTGGTATGTTCCGAGGTACACAGTGACCGAGGACACGTGTTTGTTGTATAATACACCGAATGCGTGATCCTATATGAGAGGTACCTCGGGGTAAAGGACGCTCTTCGCCGATGGTGCTTACATCCGGGCAACACTGTTTCCAAAAAACCCGAGGACACGTGTCTTCATCTTAGGGCTTTTCAGAAGAGTCCCATCAATATTCTTTAGTCTTCAAGTTACCCTCCATTAACCTTAAATTTGTAATTTTCTAATTTTTTTTTTCCATAATACAATATATATATATATATATTTATTATGTTAAGATTCAATAAATACCTAAAAGATTTCTTCGCCAAATTGAAATTGTTGGTTTATTTTCAAGTTGGCCCCCTTAACTTTGTTTTGAAAATATAATAACTCTGTTTCTCATATATTATTCTATTCCACCATTGGCTTGGCCGCTAATTCTGAATTCATTTATGACTTCGCTCCACTCACCTAGTTAGTTTTTCTAATGATAGATAGTCGTATAAATAACACACATTTACTTAATTATGTTCCATTTTTGCTCGGAAGTTCAGATAGTTGAAAAGAATCCAGAAGCAGCAATAGTTTTATTTTGGAAGGCTATAAATGCAGGAGATAGAGTGGACAGTGCCCTTAAAGACATGGCTGTGGTAATGAAGCAATTGGATAGGACTGAAGAGGCCATTGAAGCTATCAAGTCTTTTAGGGGCCTCTGCCCTAAACAAGCTCAAGAATCACTTGATAATCTCCTCATTGACTTATACAAGGTACATATGCGCATACAAACTGTTAACACTCTAGATGTATATTATTGTAAAATATCATGAACTTTGGTTTAGGTTGACACAACTTTGAAACACATTATTATACAATAAAGGTAAACACTCACAATTCTAAAGTACTCGAGCTTTAGACTTACATTGTACAAACATTTTCTAAAAACCTTGCAGGCCTAGGACAAAACACCGTTTTTTAAAAGCCACGTAGACTTGATCCAAAATGGACAATGTCATAAAATATGGGTTTGGGCATTCATATATAACCATCTTATTATTATTATTATTATTAATATTATTTTGGGATAGGATAAAGAGTACCATTGATACCATTTTATAACTGCGTTTGGATTAAAACTATTCATTAGTTTAAAAGTGAGCATATTTATGCAGAAATGTGGAAAAGTAGATGAAGAAATAAAGCTGTTGAAGCAGAAGCTTAGGTTGATTTATCAAGGAGAGGTCTTCAATGGAAAACTCACAAAAATTGCACGCTCTCGTGGCAAGAAGTTTCAGGTCTCCATCAAACAAGAAACAGCTAGGATACTGGTATGCTCACAATAAAAATTGCTTCTATTTTGCTCTCTTGCCAATGTAGGTGATTTTGTTATTTTGATATAGTATAACCGGAGGCGAAATAAAATTGGGTGCATACGACCTTTGCTGCCGGTTTCAATTTAGTCTATAAAGTCTAAACTTTAAATTATCTCAATTTAGTCCCTTAATATCAGTTTTTTCACAAGGAAGTCCTTCCGTCCATTTCTATCGATCCAAAGATGAAAAAAATTGCTGGAATGATTTAATTAAGACAAAATTAATAGTTGAGGGACTAAATTGACATAATTGAAAGTTCATAAATCAAATTAAAACCAAAGACAAAGTTCAGGTAGCAACTATATATGCTTATTACCCTATTATTTTTGTAACCAATGACTGCAAGTAATTCAAACGAAAGTCCATGTGTAAAATAAGTTTTTGCATAAACAAATGTGTATCTCTTTATTGGCTATTTGTTCAGCAATGGGAATGACAATTGTTACAGGGGAACTTGGGGTGGGCCTACATTCAGAAAGCAAACTTCTTGGCAGCAGAGGTGGTGTATCGAAAAGCCCAAATGATTTATCCTGATGCAAACAAGGCCTGTAACCTGGGCCTTTGCCTAATGAAACAGGCCCGGCACGAAGAGGCACGTTCAGTTCTTGAACAAGTATTGCAAGGTAAACTTCCAGGAGCCGGTGATATCAAGTCAAGAAACCGAGCTGAGGACTTGTGGAGAGAACTGGGGTCATGGGAACCTCCACCTCTATCCTCGAATCCTCCGAGCCTCGGTCTGGAAGACGATGATTTTGCTGATGGGCTTGAGAGATTGATAAACGAATGGGCCCCCAATAGATCTGGAAGGCTTCCCATCTTTGAAGAGATCTCTAGATTTAGAGACCAGTTGGACTGTTAAATCCATTTTTTTTTAAGTTATAGCTGTTTATCAGTTGGGTTGTAGAGTTTGTGAATTTGGGTAGGAGGTTGGGATTGAAAAAATAGATTATTCATATTAGATTTGCAAAAATAAAGGGCTTGTTGCAAGTACATGGGATTTCGGACTTCTTGGGTAAGCACTCGATTCCCTAAGGTATTATGTGTTCGTCTTCATGATCGATATCAGTTTTGTTTTAACTACTTGTCTTTTAAATGTACTAGTTTATGCACACGTACGTTATACGTGGATCAATTTGACTTGCAATTTTAGGTTTGTTTTATCCAAATTATCCCTATATTGATAGTTTACTTGCGTGTAACAACTAATTCTAAATAACTTGTGAAGTGGTTTTAGGCCACAGGAACAACAATCGGGTTGCACATCATTTTGTAGTTTGCTTGAATGTAACAACCAATTCTAAATAACTTGTGAAGTGGCTTTAATCCGTAGGAATGACAATCGGATTGCACATCATTTTGCTAAACATGCGAGATTTATGGAGAGTTTAATTGTATGAAAAGGAGCAAGCACATGAATTTGTAATGTCATTCTTATCTCTGATATTCCATACGAATAAAACATTTACCACTTTTCTTAAAAAAAAAAATATTGTGAAAGTTTCCAAATCATTTAATTTTTTTATCCAAATGGAGTCAAAGATTATAATTTACCTTGTTTATTCAGCAAATAGATCATCAAAAAATACGCACACGCATGCATTTAAATTAAGTTTACATTTTGATTATTAATTAGTTTGTTAAAAATAAGAAATTAATCAATAAAATCTTACATCTGATAGTTCACAAATATCAGTATATAAACAAATCATATGACTATCTTTATTCTTTTTTAGATGGACAAAAATGGTGAATCAAATTTTTTTCTTATATGTGTACATTTAGAAATAGTATAGTTAGATATAAATTTAGAAGCAGTATAGAGAGACATAAATTTAGAAGTAATACAGATAGATAGATACATAGAATATAGATATAAATAAGATTTGAGTACAGAAAAAAAATAGAAAATTTAAAATAATTATTATAGCTCAAATGAATATAATAGAGTCCAATTCATGTACATTATTTATATTTATGTACATTATTAATTTAAGAAGACGAAAGGATATGATAGAATATATAATAAATTAGAGAAGATGAATTAATGTAACCAATAAATCTATGGGAATTCCTAAAATAAGGATAAAGTAGAGATTGTAAAATTACTAAATAATGAATAAGAAAATTAAAAGTTTTTCTCCTTTAACCACTTTTAGAAGTAGTATAGAATAGATATAGATGATTGTCGCGTATAATTAGAATGCGTATAAATAGTCACTTGGCAAATTATTTTACATTTATAAATTGTACTGTGATGATGCAGAAAAGTGATTATGCACAAATCAATCAAGGATGAAGTAAAGAGAGTTCAAAACAAGCAAACACAGATATTAGGTGGTTCGATCAAGTTGACTTGCTCTACTGGGAATGATGACGGTGTAGTATGCTGAGATATGTGTGATGTCTTCATTTGTAAGTAAGGCTTACAATTTATATGTAAGTATAGTCTTTATTGCGCTCCGAAGTGGACTTTGATGGAGGCGTCATCGTGAGTAGTCCTGATTAAGGCGTCACCCTTGTGGCGGGAGTGGGTGGCTCTGTGATGTTGGCATAACGGATAAGATAGTTGAGGCTTACGATACATACTCTGATACCCTTCCTAAGATAGAGATTTCACGTGTGTTACTAGTAGATTGAATTTTTCATAACGATGGGTTTGGTTCTTATTGGCTTGTATTTTTGAGCTGAGCTGGACTACACCTGTGACTTAGGACTTGTCTGTATTTTAAAATTGGACCTATGAGCTATGCCTCGTCTGTAATTTTAGACTAAGTCTAATCTGCGTCGGGCAATCACTAAGTTGTGAAAACATTGACAATATTTTGTAAATGATATGAAAGACAATCACTAGAAACAATTAATGAGATGATGAAAAATAATACCATAGGAATCATTTCTCTTATGTTGTTGGGAAAATCTATGTTATCGAAAAAAAATTTGGTATTTGTACCATCAATTATTATTTTGTATGATAAAATTATAAACTTAAAAGAAGAAGTTATAATTGTTCAAGGGAAGTCATGATCAATCATAAAAAAATAAGATATTAATTCTAATATTCTATAATCCATTATGTCTTTTAGAATTATAATTTATACCTCAAAAAATTATAATTTAATCTTAAAGGAACGGCGGAGGAACCGTGCCAATAAAAGGCAAGACTTCCGACTTCCGATCACACGATGACATTTTTTTGGAGAAGTCTTTACTTTCACCATGAACTAGCCAACTAAGACACAACTCTCTAAGGGCTTGTTTGGTATTGTGGATTCGAGGGAGTTTTGGATCCTGGGGATTAAATTCACTTAAACCCAAGTTTGTGGCAACGATGTATTCAGTCTAAGATTTGAAATCCAACTTAGTCATAAAACCCAAAAACGCATGAACTTGGGTTTGAAACCCATGAAAAGTGGATTTTATATGTGAGTTAATTGGTTTAACATACAAATGATATTTATATCTTTATATATCATATATACTTATTATAATAGTCATATATTCATGCGCATATCAAACATAAGTTCCATCTTTAAATTTGGACAAACCAATTTAAACTCATCCCAAAAAAACTTACCGATCAGCCCCTAAAATGTTTGAGGCAGAGACAAACTCGTGTCCCTACTCTATTGGGTAGCAGCTTGATTTTGAGTCCCCTTAACGTACCCCTCACTGTAAAGAATGTGGACCTAATATCATTCAGGTTCAGTTTTTCTCACTAATTCAAATCAAATATCGGCGTTCATTGAAAAAAAGTGTCTCGACAGAGAGTGAGTGGAAGAAAAAAAGTCCAATAAGGACGGCCTGATGTTCGAGCCCAGCATGCTCAGGTGTGCTTTTTTTCCTTCTTCGTACACGATGAGTGTCAAATGTCAATGGATCTGATATAACAAGGAAGGACAACTTCTACTATATAAGTTAATTGATTTTTACAATTACATATATAGTTTGTTTTTCATAGTTCGTTCTATTTTTTTAATTATTTCATCAATCAGGATAGTTGAACCTGGCACAGAATAATGTTCTCAACTTTAGGTTTGTAATGTTCTAAATTTTTCCTTAATACAATATTTGTTATGTTAAGATTCAATAAATTCCTAAAGATTTCTTCGCGAATGAACACACCGACAAATTTTCTATAAGAACAATCGAAATTGTTGGTTTATTTTCAAGATGACCCCCTTAACTTTGTTTTAAAAATATAAGCCCTCTGTTTCTCATATACTATTCTATTCTACTATTGATTTGGCCGTTAATTCTGAATTTCTATTTTCATCCCACTCACCTTGTTAGTTTTTCTAATGAGAGATGATCATATAAATAACACACCTTTATTTAATTATTATGTTCCATTTTTGCTTGGAAGTACAGCTACTTGAAAAGAATCCGGAAGCAGCAATAGTTTTATTTTGGAAGGCTATAAATGCGAGAGATAGAGTAGAGAGTGCCCTTAAAAACATTGCTGTGGTAATGAAGCAATTGGATAGGACTGACGAGGCCATTGAAGCTATCAAGTCTTTAGGGGGCCTCTGCCCTAAACAAACTCAAGAAACTTGATAATCTCCTCGTCTATTTATACAAGGTACATATGCCCGTTTGCACTGTCATGCCCTAGATCTTGACCAACTTTAAAACACCATATAGGTAAAAGTTCACACTTACAAACCACTTGAACTTTATACTTATATTGCAACACTTTCTAAAAAATATTTTAGATTTATACCTGATGAGAGTCATGAGATGGAGAGCTGGATGAGCTCTTGGTGGGTGTGTAAAAATGAATGAAAATACACAAGAAAATAAGCGGTTCACCAGCAGAAAAACTTAGCTAATTCACTGTAATGGAGGCTCTTGCTCTTTGATTGTATATTGTTTTCTTGAAAAATAAGAGTGCAATAAAGTTTTTTTCCTTACTTGAGGCCCCCTTTTTACATAGAGATCACTGCCTTTTATAACAGGATATTAGGAGAATATTCTGTGTGGCTTTTTTGCCCGATATATGGTTTGATGGTTTGTTATATAGTGTTTAGATTTGCGTCGACTACTTTATTGAACTCTGAGCCAATCACCGTAATTTAAGCTAATTTAAAGACATGTCCTCTAAAAAACAACGGTTACTAAACTTTAGGGGTTATGAATCAGTTGTATTGTAGAGTTTGTGGATTTGGGCAGTAGGCTGTGATTGAAAAAAATAGATTATTCATAACAGATATGCAAAATAATGGGCTTGTTGCAAGTGATTGTGAATTTGGTTAATGTTTTTTTTTTTTTTTTGTTGATCCGTTTTGAAAACAAATCCAGTTTTTAAAAATATCTAAAATGATATTTTTAAAAACATCTAAAAAAACAAATCAGACAGAAAAGAAGAGAAAAGAAGAAAACCATTTAGTGAGGTCTGAACTTTGAAATTCATTACCGACAAAAAATCTATCTTTTTCCCTCACCATATAAAAGGCCAACTCTCTCCTCATCTTCTCTCTCTTCTCTTTGTCTCTCTCACAAAGCATGCGAAGGGACTCAGATCTAGACAGATCTTCGATAATGGGGGTGAGTTTCGGTGGGTGGGGTTCGGGGGTTGTGGTGTTGGGTTTCTGTGGTGCGATTGGGTGGTGGGTTTCGGTGACGAGGGTGGGTTTCGGTGGTGGCTTTGGGTGGTTGAAGGGGGTTTGAGTAGTGAATTTTTGATATAATAATAAATATATTTTTTATTTTTATTTTTATAATTTTTAAAATATAAATGATATTAAACATATTTTATATTTTTAATTTTTGTCATAGAAATTTTTTTTTTTCATTTTTTCTATAAAAAAAAGTATTTTTTAACACACCTTAGTGTTTCGGAGATTAAGCGATTTAGTCTTGAGACATACCATACCTCCCTTCGTGGATTTGCTTATGTACAAATTGCTTAAGGTTAATATTATTGAGCCCCCTACGCCCTTCTGTTAGGTGTTTTTATTAAAATAAATTATATATATAACCTTCAAATTAAAATTTTTATATCAATTAATTCCTTAAATTTTTGTATATCAATTAAACACCTGGACTTCGAATATGTCAATTGAACTCTTCAATCTTTTTGAGGCAATATGAGTGACACACTCTGATGGAGGTAGATATAAAGACTCAATTAACATAATTAAAGAGTTTAATAACTTAATTGACCAAAAAAATTCAGATATTTAATTGATACAAAAATTATAATTTGGGAGGTATATGTGTAATTTACTCTTTTCCTTTAACAAAGGTAAATGGCAGTATTCAATTGAGCACGCTAGCCGCCACGAATAATTTCAGTTGCCCCATCCTTTAAATACAAACCGAAAAGGCACTCACAATCTTTCTATTTCTGGTAAAATAAGTCGATCAACAATCTTCTCAATCCTATTTTCAGATCTTTTGGGAAAGCATCACAGTACGATCATAGTTCATAGGAAACATTCTTGTTGTCCTAACGTTGGAGCAGATACTTCAACCTACAAATTGTTGATTGTGAACCACAAGCCACAAAACCCTAACCCTAATTGACCCAATCAATGGCAGCAAAAGAACCAGAGATAATCACAGACAAGAACCAGATGAGACAGTGGTCAAGGTCCATGAGAGCCAAAGGAAAGACCATTGGCTTTGTCCCCACAATGGGTTATCTTCATGAGGGTCACCTCTCACTTATCAACGAAGCCCACAAACACACCCAACTCATTGTGGTCTCTGTTTATGTCAATCCTGGTCAGTTCTCTCCCAATGAAGACCTCTCCACTTACCCATCTGATTTTTATGGTGATATCAAGAAGCTCATGGCTGTTCCTGGTGGTGTTGATGTTGTTTTTCACCCCCACAATTTGTATGACTATGGAAACAACAATTGTGGGGATGATGGAAATGGGTTACAGAAAGAAGGGATGAGAGAAAAAGACGGAGTGGTGGTGTCTTGTGTGGAAGATAAGGGATTGGGGCATGAAACATGGGTTAGAGTTGAAAGATTGGAAAAGGGTATGTGTGGGAAGAGTAGACCTGTTTTCTTTAGAGGGGTTGCTACTGTTGTAGCCAAATTGTTCAACATAGTTGAGCCTGATGTTGCGGTTTTTGGCAAGAAAGATTATCAGCAGTGGAGAATTATTCGAAGAATGGTAAGTTTTCAAGGATTTTTTGCAATTTATCTGTTCAATTATCATTCTGCTCATAAATGAAATCTATTGTGCAGCTAGTCATTTTGTTCTTACGCTTAGATTTATCTCACTTCACTGATTGAAAAACGGTTTGCTCCGGCCACTGCGTTTTGGGCTTTTCCTGTTATTGCATACCGTCTCGATGGTTCCCCTAGGTTAGTCACTTTAATAGATGTTCTTTGGAAAGTGAATGCTGCTCATTATCCTTTTTTAGATGATTCAAAAGTTGTGGAGATTCAAAGGTTATTTCTTCATTTTTTTTACTTCGTTCTCCCTAGTTTCCCTATGAAAAAAATCGTCCTTTTATTCCTATTGTTGCCTATTACTTGAAATGAACAATAGGGCCTCATTAAATTTTTTGCCTTAGGCCTCAGATTACATCATGCCGCCCTACATGGATGAGGGCGACCAAATTCTTTCTTTTTGTAATGCTACATTTTTAAGAAAAAGGTAGTGTCAAACTCAACATTTAGTTTTGGGGTAATGGAATTCTGTTTGCAGCGTTGTTGATATTTGTGTACCTTCTCAGCACCTTGCTCTGGGGACTCCTGGTAGACAGTACTTAGATTACATTGATGCAGGGGTTTGCGGGTATTTAAGTGAATTGTGGCTGAAGTAGCTGCTTTATAACCACAGTATACAAAAAACCATTGAAGGTCCATTTGGCTTTTGATAAGTTGCCCTATCAAATATGCGCCTCTACATTGATTAGTAGTGTTTCACCTTTGGTCAAAGTTTGTTGTTTTAAACAAGTCTACTTGATCACAATCATGCTAAATCGAAATCTTGCAGTGATTAATGATATAGATTGTTCTTTGCACCTTCACTCTATATAAGCTACTGGACCATTAAAAAGAACTGTTAAACTAGAGGTGCATAGTATGTTATGCTACCAAAATTTTTTTTTGAAGCTGCTCATCCATATAATGTGTGATGAGTGTTGCCATTCAATCTTTCCGAATCTAAAACGACCAAAGCAGAATTCAAAACCTTGAGGACATTGGTTCAGTTTATGATTGATTCTGGTTTTTGGTAAAACCTGAGTTTTGGTGTTGGTCAAAGTCGAATTTGTCTTTCTTTATTCATTATTCTCAGTTCTTGGGACACATTACCATTGCAATTCTACACCCGAGCATATGGAAACATGTTGATAGATTAATGACATATTAAATCTACAGGGAGTGCTTTCTTATGATTTGCTTTGTAATATCAGGTCCGAGATCTTGATTTTGCTGTAAAAGTGATTGGTTCTGAAATAGTACGAGACAGTGATGGCCTTGCAATGAGCTCCCGTAATGTGCACCTCTCACTTGAAGAAAGGGAACAGGTTAGCTCCATGCTATAGAGATTATCCTTTAGTATTTCTATAGTTTAGTGTTTATATGCGTGAGAATAAATGATGCATATAAGATGACGCTTACAAAATGATGCTATGATCCTTAATGTGAATAAGAAATTATGCACTTTGAATGATTAGACCTCACTTTTCGTTAACCATGTTTTTCCTATCATCTATTGATCTACTCTGAAGTAATTCCTTCTTGATCCTTTATCCACATTGGAAAACGTATCTGCTGCCAGTTTAGCTTTATATTTCTCCTTCGACATTTCCGACTGATGCGTCTTCATATGCTTTTGTAATATTTGGCAGGCCTTGTCAATAAACCGGTCCCTATCGAAAGCTAAGTGTGCTGCAGAAAAGGGTCAAGTTAATTGCAGAGAGTTGAGAAACTCAGTCATTCATGCCATACATGAGGCTGGTGGGAAAATTGATTATGCCGAGGTGAGACATGAAACATCATCCTTCTCTGTGTCTTTTGACCTTATTAATATTAAGTCAAACACTTATTTTTATATGTGATTTACGCATTGGCACGTCGTATTTAGTATGCAATAGTTTAGTTCCACCAGAAATTATGGAAGTGCTGATCTGCTGTTTGATTCATCGCACGCAGATTGTAGAACAAGAGAATTTGGAATCTGTTGAAGAGATTAAGAGTCCGGTTGTGTTTTGCATTGCTGCATGGTTTGGGAAGGTCAGACTGATTGACAACATGGAAATTAGCCTTTAAAATCGGTATATAGACGGTGGGTGCTGACCTAAAATCCTTCTGCTGCATGGAACTTCTTTTGTTCGTGGTCGTGGCGGAGCATGTTCTGATATATCCTTCTTTTTTGTCTAAATTAAGACATCATATATACTGATTTAATAAACTTATTGAAATTCCGACAAAACTAAATAATATGTATACAAGTTTTCAGAGAAAAGGGAAGTGGGAAAAAGATCCAACCAATAATATTTCTGTCATCTTTGTTGAAAACTTATGTTGATCGAAAAGCAGGGCAGGGCAGCAGAGTCTGATCAACTCGGCAGTGAGGACCATGAGCCATGCAAGCAGGACCTCGAACTTGCAGTGAGATGTGGCAGATTTTCATTTAAAAATTTCTCAACAATGGCAGCACCAGCAAAACAAATGCCATAGTCAATATTTTTGCTGACCCCTCCTGTACACTATTATCCCAATTCATGCTCCGAGTAACATGGAAAGATAACTTTTAGCAAAATAAGAGGACAAATGAAAATGGCAAGACAAACTTCAGCGTAGTACCTAGACTATTCTACTAGTATATTGAAAGAATTCGAGAATACAAACTGTACAAGCAGTGTCTCACAATAAAGGTTACAGCAGAAAGAAAAGGGTCAACAAAAAAAAAAAAAAAATCAGCGAACAAACACCAAACTATTGTAACAAAAAGCATCACAACTTCTTGCGAATACACAGCCCAGTCAGACGGATGGAGGACTGATATTAGTGACACTTGAAGCCACCACAAACTGATAAAACTATAATAAGAATCAAGGCAATGATAATACCCAGAACTATCAGCTTTATCTTCATGTTCTTCAACCACATCTTTCTCCTCATCTGGGTTCCTTGTGTCCTGAAATCTTGTGCCTGCAAACATGGCACCTCTCATGTTGCAACATCATACTCTCATGTAAAATCATCAAAACAACGACAAAAACAGGAAAAAAAACCTATGCATAACTATGGGGAAGAGGCCACTGATCTAAAAACAGATGCAGGGAAAATCACAAAATTTACAATCTTAGGGCAACTCCCATATACTCAGAAGTCCAGCAGCAAAAAAGAACTGAACAAAATCCATATAAAGAAAACATCATCACTAAGAGCAGCTACTGCTGCCTACTGAAGAAAAAGTTTAAAAATGTCCAGCTTTTTGGTGATTTTAAAACCTAATTGACCTGTAATTGAATCCAGGCCTTGTTCTGGAATGTTTGGACATATCTGGGGGACAAAGCTATATGGAACGTAGAGTGTTCTACAGAATTATGCCATCAGTTATGACTTCAATTATGCCACAGTTTTCCTCTGATTTTTATGAAAATACAAATATTACAGTCCGTCATCAGAATCTTTTCGGTGTAATAAAAATGTGTTACACAGTAGCCACGAAGCATCTAATTAAATGGGTAACAGTTCAAAAAACATTAACCATATAATAGAAACACGGCTCAATATTGTTTAAATAATAAGTTATACACTTGCATCCACCAACCTGAGACCGAAGATTCTCTGTTTTGTCCACTAGAAGCTCGATCTTCTCTCCACGATCAAGAACCTGCAAACTCAAACTTTGTTTGGACCCAAAATGCACCATTTTTCTAATTTTCAAATCCTTTCAGATATCAGGACTCGAAATAAACACACTAGACCTTCACAGAAGAGCATGCAGTGCACCAACTGAAATACAAATTATGCCTTACCTTCTCAATATTTTCCATCATCACCCCTTTGACTTCTGAAACCTGCGCCTTCACCTTTGCAAGCTTGCTGATCTCCTCTGGATGATCCACACAATACTGCATCTGCTCCTTCAGCTTGGGCCTATACAGAAAATTACAAATATACAATAAAACAAGGAATTAAATGGAAGGAATGGAAAAAAATTATTAGAAAGGGGAGGGAAATTACCCAAACTCTCTGTTGAGGCTATTAGCAACAGCTGTGGCAGCTTTGCCCCCACCATATTTCTTAGTGAAATCCTCCTTAATTCGCTCAAGAAATGCCATTGGAAGCTGTCTGCCAGCAGATTCAACAGCAACAACACAATATGCTGCATCATAATATATACGTTAGTGCAGTTGAGCAGATAAAAAGAACATGGATGGAAGACTCAGATTGAAAGACAAACAGAAAGCCAACTATAAGTAATACAGATGATTGATTGACCAAGCACCCAACGCATGCAATTTTATCAACCAACTCATGCGCATATTAAAGGTTCATAGACAATAGCTTAACTTTAGCCAAAAGCTAAAGTTTTAAGGATTTGGTGTTAGTTTTTTTCTACATTATTTGTTAACAAATGATAATTTAAGTTGAATTTTCATGTCCCTTTAGAAAATCGCTGAGCAAAACTGAAATAATGGACTAAATTCAAATTCTAGAAATTCTAATGGTCATTTGCATAAATCAATAACGAAAATATTGCAGAAATTTTGATTTAATCTTCAGGCCAAAAGAAAAGGCAATACACCAAACTTTCAAAATTCAAGAAGAAAATGTCTCCAGCAGAAGAGCATATGCATGACCATCAAGTAAAACCAACATACCAAATGGTGGTAGAACATAATACAACATATGAAATCAAAAGTAAAAATCAAAAAAAGTTGCGTTGGTATGTTGTAGAATAGACAGTTTGACTCGTTACCTTCCATTAAAGCTCTTACTAAAATAATATGCCCAAACATTCATATAGCAACAAGTAAAGAATTCTGAAGCCCCAAAATCTGGAAAGGAAAGGATACTAGCAACCACCAAACACATTGTCTCCATATTCATAGACTCTCCTATATTTCTTCCTTTACACAACCTAGTCTTTACTACAAGAATAAGTTATAATTTCTCCTCTTTTCTCTAGAACCAAGGATGTAAGTACAGAAAAGAGCTAACCTGGACATCACCAGAATCTAGTCTGAGAACTGCAGAACTTTATGGAAGGTAAACAAGAAGCCAATCTGATCTGCTCGTGTTGTAATATCATACATATAAGTTACATCTCGATTAAAAAAAAAAAAGTTACATCATGTGTAAACATACCCTGTGCTCTTCACCCTCGTCAAATATTTGAAAAAAATAGACTAGTAATAGTTTTGTTTTTAAACAGCATATACACCTCACTAATATTAATTTCTGCTTAAAGAGAACAAACCACATATGAAGACAGCATATGTTGTACAAGATTTTCAAGTGATATTTTGGTATATATAGGCATACACAAAATTTTCACCAAATTCAAGTGAATTGATTACATTCGCATTGTGCTTGGAAGCATTGAACTCATACCTTGAAGTAGGAATTGAAGGAAAATTTAATCCCAACTTTTAAACTAATAGTCTTAAATTCCCCTTCTAGCCAAAATTTCATGCTCGCAAAAATGTGTCAGATCTAACTCCAATTGGGAAACTGTCAATTGACAGTTCTACACATAATTATCCCCAAAAAGGATGAATTTGGCAATATTAAAATATGGAAACACGCCCCTCTTCAACATAGGTTCAAGGTTGAGATCTTTATACTTCACTAGATATACCGAAGTGATAAAAGCAAAGAGGTTGTATTCAAAAATTTATCACCTGGGTCCTCATACTTCACAACACGATCAGAGGAAACCATCATTTCCCATACACACTATAGGGCTCAAGCCTAGAGTGAGAGAAAAGGATATTACTAGGACTAGAGAATGAAACGGAACCAAGTGGCATGCAAATGTTTTGTGTTGATAACCATCCAAATTACCCAGCATCAATGGATCTCGTTGCATAAACATGTAATGGTAGCAATTTAGCATTTGAGTCATTGTCATTTTCATGAATAAACCTAAACATACTGTTTTGCGTTCAATACACAAGCTTGCTGTTATTTACAAAGCCCCATCTCTACACATGTTGGGGAAAATATCAAAATGTAAAATCAATCAACAACAGAGATCACTCAAAAATGCTGCCAAGCAACTGGGACTTTCAATAATGTCTCAAAAATGATGCTCCATCAGGTAAAAGGCAGAAAGAAAGTCAAAGCAAGCAATGGACATACACCAGAACAAGCGTCAGAAAAAGGGCAGACATGACAAACCAAGTAAAAAATAATGAGGCATTCAAAGATTCAACTACTCCAGAAGCTTGGAAGTCAAAAAATATTATCCTATGTACCAGACAGCTCACGTAATCTGATAAATTTAACGTTCAGAAATTGAAAAAAAAACACATCCAAGATATATTTTATGCAGCAAATATTGTAATGAAATTTCGGTATACACAATAAGTAACTTAACATGAAAAAAATTTAAAAGACTCACAAAAACCCAAACACCGCATATGATCCAACTAATACAAGAAGAGCAAAGCAACTTGATATAAAGAGGAAAAAATCAAACCAGGAAACAAAACCGCAGAAATCTTATTATCTATATCACCATTTCATTTGACTGAAGCAACAGATTCAAGACGGCAAACTAGTCAAGCAAATTCTCTATATCGACATAGCCATAACCCACCCATCAATCTCAAGGAGAGAACTAAGAAGTAGGCTCCAACTAATGAGATCTACTTGAACATATAACGCCGTCCAGCAATAATATTTGCCAAACTGATCGATGAACTGATCACATAAGCTCAGTGATTCGGATCAAAACCGAGAAGAAAATTTAATAACTCTTGGTAGTAATCTAATCAAGGTAACAGAACAAAACACTCCGGCTTGGTTTCCTTTTCAGACGAAATGAAATAAATATGTAGGAAATTTATCCGGGCGTTCAGGATGTCCTCGGAAGAGGGTCGTCTCCCCCCCCCCTTGCATATAAGTCTTGGCTTCATATGGAGGAGGTACCCACTAGTGGCTAGTGGCTTATATGCAAGGGGGGAGACCATCGGAACAAGCTCCTGCGGGCAAAGAGGGGTAAAGACTACCGGTGAATATCCCTCAAGAGGGGCGAAACCAGGTCAGCCAAAATCCTTCTTCCGTGGGGGAGGACATCCGGGAACGCGCGGATAAATCTCCTACAAAATACATTAAGCTAAATGCTGGGTCGATTTCAGAACAAAGAAAAATCTCCAGTCTCAATCAATCGAATCTCCGTCTTTCTACAATGATCCAGAATCCATTACTCTATCCTCCCCAAAAATTCTCATCATCAATCCAATGAAAAATAAGACTCTGATGATCTTCAAAGCATAAACAAAAATCAAAGTCCGATGAAAAAAAAGTGAATGACCGACACATAGATCAGAGCTTAGAAAACGAATCAGATGGGGAAGAGACTACTCACTGAATCCGTTTTCGACGAGGTAGTTGAAGGTGTGGCCATCGCAATTGTAGGTGAACTTGTTGTTTGTGGCCGGAAGTTTTTGGAGACACTGCGAGGCTATGCTCGTGAAATTCCCCGTGAATTCAGTGTATTCCGCGAGGATCACCGTTCCTCTCGCCGCGAAACTGTAGATCAGCGACTGTTGCCCCATATCTCTCTCTCACAAAACCCTAGCTCTTCTTGTACAGCAGATAGAAAGTAGAGAACCAAAGAAGATATACGGTATGGGGTATAGACGTATACTGAGAGAGAGACAGGCGATGGGAGAGACTGCGTTTGATTTTACGCAGAGGATTTTGTACCAGAGAGAGAGAGAGAGATATCCCTTTCCTACCTTTCGTAGATGGGAAGCTAGGTAGTCGTCTGTGCTTGTCCCGAGTCTTGACAACCCATCTGCGTCTGGGGAAATTACGGAAATGCCACCCTGGAGCCTGGTGTTTTGAAATACTACATGGCCCAACCGGGCTTGTCTGTGACCATTCATAGGGTTAGAGTGGGGGAAGTCATAAAGGGTTTTTTTTGAGTGTGGGTATATTTTTTTAGATTTATTTTAGGGAAAATGTATGAATGAATATTTTATTTTATTAAATTTAATTTTAATAAAATATATTGAGATTAGTAACAAAATTTAATTGACATTTAAAGTTTTTTATTTTCTTACTCCTCCTTAAATTATGTATAATTTTTATTCTTTGACTTTCTCTCCCTTATTTTCTCTTCATCTCTCCCCTATTTTCTCTATCTATCTCCCATTGATAATTTATTTTGTTTTTTAAATATGTAAAAATTTAATTTAATTTTTTCATCTCTCTCTCCAATTTTTTTTATCTCATTATTTTCCTCATATTTTCTCTTGTCTCTACTCTCTCCTTATTCTTCCTTTTTATATTAATATTACAACAAACATAATTACACTAATCATTATATCAATTAGTTACAATTGTCTTATAATACACCAAATAATTACTCATATATTATAATAAATCAAACAATTACACAAAATTATAACAACATCCCAATTTGTTATTCAATTGTGTTACATAAATTAAAAAGTTGCATCATTTAATATCACGACATGATTACACCAATTATATCTACCAAATTTGATATAATAGTAAACTATTTTGTGTAATGATAAATTGAAATTAGTATATATAATTGGTGTAATAATGTTGTGATACTAAATAATGTAACTCTTTGATTTATGTAAACAACTGAATGATAAAACTGATTGGTGTTATAATTTCATGTAATTATTTAATATAACTATTATTTTTTTATTAGAACACATGAATAATTGTTCAGTGTATCATAGAATAATTGTAATTAATTTGTGTAATTGTAATGTTGATATAAAGAAATAGAGAAAGAGAAAAAGTAACAGTGAAAGAAAATAGGGGGAGAGAGAGAAAAAAATAAGGGGAGAAATAAAAAAATTAAATCAAAAGTTTATATATTTAAAAATAAATAAATTATCAATGTACGTGAGAGAGAGACAGAGAGAAAGAAGGAAGAGAGAGTAATGGAGAGAAAAGGGGAAAGAGAGTAATAGAGTAATAAATGAAATTTTAGTTTTTTTATAAATAAAAATACATTTAGGGTCAAACAAATTTTTTTAATATAGTTTAACCTAATTAAGTATAAATTTTTAAAGCTATTTCTAAATTTCCCGAGGCATAGAGGTAGAATAGGTCCAAACAAAAAGAACTGAGGCCTGCAAAATTGACCAACCTTATCCCAACGATAGCCCATGTTACTTTCGGCGCGTCCGTCGAGTGTATAACAGCAAAGTCCAGCCCAATTACTAGCCAGAGACAGAAATATCAAGGTGGGTCTGAACGCAGACATGGACGGCTCAGATGGAACAATGCTGTTCTGTTTTAGCAATTACACTCAAATCAAACCATCCGATTCCGACGATCGAACTTGTACTTGAAAATTCTGGAACCCAGTTCTAGAGAGAGAGAGAAAAGGGTGAGAGGGCAAGTCAGAGAGAGAAGAAAATGATGAGTGGGAGAGTTTCACTGTCATCCCCACCTCAATCCTCCACATATTCTCCTCGTATTGTATCGAAAACACATAATAGTCCATCATGGAGCTCATCAGCTTCTAGTATTCCATGGAAATCACGCGACCATCCTCTCTGTTCTTCAGATCTCAAGCTCAAAGTTCCTCCTTCTAGATTTGGTGCTGGAGTTTTCCCAGAAAGAATTGATTTACGGTGCAATAGCAGCACTGGACCTGGTGGTCCTGGTATCACTTCCCCCTCCTCCTTCTATGTTTTAACACACACACACACACACACACATTAATATCAATATTCATGACGTGGGTTTCTAGAAATTGGGGCAACAGGTTTATTCGGTTTATGGATCTTAATCACTGATTTTTGAACTCTCCCTTTATGTCTCTGTCTCTGTCTGTCTCAAGTTAATAGTTTTCTATGCTTTTTTCTATAATATGTGTGGGTCTATGACGATAATTGTGAATGGATTGTTTGGTTTTCTCTCTTTAAGATTTCATGGAATGTTTGGTATTCAGAATGTGAAAAATTTGGTATTGTGGTGATTTTGTTGACTACGAGATTGTCTTAAAATTTGTGTAATTCGATGAAGACTACCTAGCATATGCTGTGAAATTTACTTTTTCTAGTTCGAACTTGAAAGAATGGTCCTCATTTCCATTTGCAGATATGAGATTACCAATCGTTTGAGAGGAGTATTTGGAATCACTATTCACTTATATAGATTTTGTTTCCTCACTTAATGCAGTGAGTTGGTCATCAAATTATAGCTTAGAAGCTCTAGAAGTAATTGCACTGTAAGGAAGACGATAGTTAAACTTGAAAAAAAAAATAAAAAATACCATGGGTTTTCATGTATTAGTCACTGTTGAATGATGGTTGTGATGAAGAATTTGGTTTTGGTACAATCATTTGAAAGAGTTCAGTTGAAGTGAATCGCGAAAGTGATGGTGACAGTCTTGCCCATGAGAAACAAATTGACTATATGTTGCAAATTCATCACGTTTCGTGTTCTTGGAGATTGACATGTCAGACTTGTTAAAAATAAATTGATCCAGTGGCCATATGATTATAGCGACTCACCACAAAATTTCAGGCCTTGATTTGTGTTATTCAATTTAAGGAGTTGTACAGATTTTGCTGCTTTTGTTTTTTGTACTGTCATTGCAGCTCCATTACAACCTTCTTTCTTCTTTCCCCTGATGAGTGTATATTAGAAGAGTTTCCTGTTTCTCTACCTGCAGCTTGCATGTCCACTTCAGTAGTACTTTGCTGAACAAGTGCTATATGCTTGACTAGAAAATGAACACTGAAGTTGGGCACTCTTTGTG